TTTTCCTGTAGATCAGATGAGCGGCACAAAGTTTTGGAAACTTAAATCTGCTTTACGAGAATGAGGGGGCAAACCCACTGTTCTGTTTGAACTATGCTGGAGGCAAGAAAAACTAATCGGTTCGATAGTGACAATATGTAAAGAACCATGTGACCAGCCCATTCCCAACGCTAAATCAACACCTTGTCAACCCAGGGTAATGATAGGAGAGAAAAACAAATGTCACTTTCTCAGCCTACACTCCATACAAACCCCACCACGATGAAATGGTATTCCCAATAGATATCATATATTATAGAAAAGTCACGGGAGGGAACTGTCAGCAACAAGACAGCAGCGCAGAGGGAAGTCAATTACTCAGTAGCGTTCCTGAAAAATACACTTTACCCCATCCATTTCATTCATTTCACAACCTGAAATAAGAAAATAAGACTTAAGTTCTAGATCTGTCTTAAGTACATTCTCAAAGCTGCCATGAATAAAAATCTAGAAACGTGTGAAACTTGAAAATGCACCCAAGGTTTTAATTCTTAGGGAATTTTAATGCAGAAGAGGGAGATGCTTATCAACACACCTCCACCCTCTGAAGCTGAAAAACTTTAGAGTACTAAACAACGATAAAAACAAAACAAACTATCTTTTATAAACGTAACCACAGTGGCAACCAGGGGTTTCAATCAGAAAACTTCACGTTTGACTTCTCAGTTGTCTTTGGGTTCTTGTTTCAATGAATACTGTAAAAAATAATGCCAATATAAACTTAAATGGGATTGCAGAGAAGTTGTGGGTAGAGCAGTATCCCTGAAGAGTAGCAATATTTAAATCTACTGTAGTTGGTGATTAAAGACAAGTCTTGGTTCTTAAAGAAAACACTCCTTGTGAAACCTTGGGATCATTCCTAGAAAGACAGTCAGCAAGGTAATACCTCTGTTTGCCTTGAAAGCATATCACACTGGTATCACTGATCACTAAATTTAGGAAGGGGCTTCAATTAAAAAAAAAAAAAGCTGCTTTTATTTCTCCTCTACTCTACAGAAAGCCAATACCTGATAAACACAAATACTAACACAAAGAACAATCAAACCTCAGTAGAGGGTTATCTACTTACTGATTGGCTTTGAACATTTAAGTCACATGTACTTGACCAAAACCCTTTCAAATTCATCTTCAGTCTTAATTCACACAACACCTCTACCTCAGTTCAGAAGGATTTGGCCACAACCCTAACACCACTTATAAAGCTAGTAAATACCTCTTCGTTACTTACATAAAAAATCAGTTCTTTATCTTTCCTACCACTGGAAATTACTCACAACCTAATGACTTCCAAAACATGCTTGCTAAGGCTTAAGAAACAATTTTATGCATCTTAGAAATTAAGACCTTCTAAATTCTAACACAGAAACTGCCAGTTAAGCAAGCAAAAGTGCCCCAAACACACAATAGTACAAATACACAGTAGTTAAAACTTGCCATTATAACATACTCAGTTGGGGCTGTCAGTTTAGTTGGAGGCCTAACACCAGAGATGTCAAAATGAAGGAAAACAGAAGCAAGTTCTTATGTTAACAATCAGCTTGGCTATTGAAATCTAAGAAATGCAAATGAACTCCATAACCCCAGTTGAGGCTCACAGCCCAGTACAAGTATGGGTAAAGTTGGGGTTAATTTGATTCCTAAGGAGAATTTTGCCTATTTGAGCACTTAATGTACATCTAAGAACAACTTGATGGTAGAGTATCAATGGGTGTATCAAGTGCAATTAAATGCTGGTTTTTGTTGTTGTTTTTCTTTCCCAAGAAAAGTGTGTCTATAACACATGTATACATAGTGACTTTTGTATAGTTTAAAGATACTGTTATTGGGCAAGTAATCTGCACAGGTAGGTTATTTCACACAAGTTTGCACTTAGGGGGAAATGTTATGGGAATGAACTCACTTATTTAAAAATCATAAATTTGCTGATAAAAATCAACCTCTAGAGGGGTCTACTCAGTCTACTTAAGATAAAACTCAAAAGTAAATGTAGTCAGAAAAAGGTAATATATACAGTCAACAATGTGCATCCTTAAGTATCAAGTATGTATTGTAGCTTATAATGGGTTTTCAGAACTTAGGGTTAAGGTTCCCATAAAATATAGGTTAAGATACTCAAAACATTCTAGATACCACTAACCTACACTTGGATTTGATTAAATATATCCAGAATTTTGCCTACTTTAAGAGGAAGGGTTAATACATGCATCTCTTTCAAATACTGAACCGTGACCACTAAGCCCACTAAATCCTTTTATTGCAATTGGGAATGATCAAAGTCTCTTTACTTGTTTACTTCCAATTATTAACTGTAAATCTCTGGGGAAAAGGGCACGCTATACTGCTGTCAAACTCAAAAGACCAAATAAACATATGCAATCAACTTTTTAGTGCTCCTTTTCCAAAGCATCTCTTCACCACATGACCTATGCTGACATCTAGCAAAACCTATAAAACATAGTGGACTAAAGTCATGGTGCTAAATGCATCCCATAGTTGAGGTTGAGATAAAAACTGCAGTCACGACGCAGGGGGGAAAGTGGGGAAAGATGGGGAGAAAGAAAAGAAACCTTCAGCAAGGCTATGTCCAGTCACCATCATCACTCCAAAAAAAGCTCCAAATTTGAAATGCCCAATTCCCGTTGACCACGTCCCAAGTATTTTGAGAACTTATCCAAGACTACTAACAAACAACACCTTGAAAACTTTACCATTTTTAAACACAAATGCAGGAACCCTTGGAAACAACTGGGAACCGCCATCTTACAAGCCATCCAATTTCACACAAGTGTCCCTCCAAGTTAAGTTAATAACATTTTTGTTTAGGTTCTCTCCAGACTAACATCCATCTAGAAGGGATCACTGCCCCCCACATAACCTGTCCCTATAAAATGGGGCGTTCTCTGGAAGTTTAAGCCCCCCAAAAGTCCCTTCTTCGGGAGAGGAGGGAAGCCACTTGACCCAGGCAGCTCCCGATTTCAGGATCCCGTCCCGTTTCATCAACATCTACCTCTCAACAAAGGGCGCCGTGGCCCCGAGAGCCGCAGAGACTGGAAATAGAAGTGTTCTTCTCCGGGACCATGTGCGTCGCGAGGGTACAGAGGGGAGCTCGGGGGAGAAAAGAACTAAAACGTGGGGCCGCGCGCGGCGCGTCCCGGGCCGGAGCGGGCGGCGGCTGGA